ATAGCTACGTAGGTATATATGTACAAATTGACTGCATTATTAAATACATATCGAATTGCAATATTTTATAATATATGTTTACCGGTATGCCTTATCTATAAATTTATAGTAGCACTTGTAAAATAGCGGTTCGGAGAAAAACGCGCCAAATATATTATTGCATACAATATCATTATTAACATGTTACCATAAACTTGTTAGGTATCTAAAAAAATGTTTCTCGCGTTATTCTCCTAACAGCTATTTTGCCAGTACTACATTTGTGACGATGCGACCTCTTTCATCTCGTCCCACCTTTTTATCACCCTTTTCCAGAGAAATAGACTCTTTTAATTTCGTACTCGTTTAACCGTTCGAAACCATCGTAATCCGACCATTTATTTGGTACATTGATGTTTTTAATTTTTCCGTTCCATGATCGTTTGTAAATTGATCTTCCTGCCTTTTACCGTTCCTGGCCACCTACTTCAAATTTCTCTCACTTCACTCTTACTTTTTTCTTTCCGTCGCCACTCTCTACTATATTTCCGAAGCGAGCACACGTGCTCAAAAAAAGAACTCAAACTTACGTTATTGGGCAACTAGATTCTTAGCAGTTCAAATGACATATTTCATCCACCGAATTCAGCTACCAAAATGAAATCTGGATAATTGAACAAAAGGCATAATTTTTGTATCAAATGTTATGAAAAAGGCAATAAAAACATTCAATAATCTACATAAACATTTACTAATATGAGTAACTATTAAATGAAGCTTTAAAAACTGAAATTTTATATAAATTTCAGTTAAAATTAAAAGCGACCAGAACAACACAAACAAATTGCACCTTATGATTATTAATTAAAATCAGTTTTCAGTTTGGCTGTTCAGCCTTTTTTCAATCACGTAAAGTATTTCCGTATCTCTTTTTACGCAATCCGTAGCTACAAAAGCAATCATTTTTTTGGAATTTGCGCGATTAATATCTTTCATTACTTTTTATACATGACGAGGTAATTCATGCAACTGCAAAATCTTTCCTTCCGCTTTTTTTTTGGAATACCTCTGTCTGTCTTCATCTTTAAACTTTCATATATAATTGGGTCGCTTTTTAACTTTGCTTTTCTGACTCGTTCATTCATTTTCTACATTTCCAATTTTTTCTCTATTTTGATTTTCCTTATTTATTTTCAGCATGAAGCAAGTAGTAATATAAAAATTTTAAAATCAGTGATATTAACTAAACACGTACATGAAAAAACCTACAAAATTCTTGCTTTTCCAAGAAAATATGGCTTCTATGGCAGTTTTTTCCGGCTTCGGTGGGAGCTTCGGTGGAAGGGAATACACGGGATTAGAATATATATATGTATATATATATTGGTATTACTCGTAAACGACAATACTTGTAAAACCAATAAATTGTTATTATACTATACCGAATTCAAAAATCAACCTGGACCAAATCCACCGAATTATGTATTTACAACCAAAAAGTTCTAAAATTTGCAGCAAATCATCCACCTGTTCTTTTCAGCTGTAGGGGCGTCATGGACGAATAACACGAACGAATTGCGAAGCTTATAAAAGGCTTCAATTGTGCTGTGTGTGCGTGATTAGTAACTGCCATCGAATTCCGGCGTAACCCTGCAATAGCAACCTTGGTATTGTGATGAAACTATTGTCTAGTTTATTGTGAAATTACGGTTTTAATTTTGAGAAAAATTACACTTTGTGTTGGATTCTGTATTCGGGACACGCCACTGTCGTCAGATTTTAGGCATTTCGGATTCATTTTTCCGTTAGGTCCGAAAGGTTTATTGAGAAAATTTTGCTTTCGACCTATATTATACACTCTTCTTTTTGTAGTTTTTTGTTTTGACAAATAAGTGGCGTTTTGTGCATGGACACAGAAAATTGCGGCTTTGGAGAAATGCCCTTAAAATTCTGACTAGTTATACCATTGAAAATCTTGTAACTTAACTGCTTGTAAATTATTATATTTGTAGGAAGTACAGGCCCTTTCGAGCCTTTACGCCTGTACTTTACCTTTTTTCCTATTCCTATTTTACAATAAATGATGTGGACCGAGCCTTTCATGTGATTACCCAAAACCCTCGGATACACATTTAGAATTAGTAAGGACGTATGCATTCATAAATCCTTGTACGAGTACAATGCGGAGAAACTTTAATTAGTGCTTGGGTAATTTCTAACGGAACATTTAAACAGGTATAGAATATATATGTATATGTCTAGGGTGCTGGTGAATTACAGGTACATGGGACTCGTCAACTTAGGTCTGTCTCAGAGTGACGGGCGCAGTGGCGGTGCTCCTAAGATCTTTGCGATTTAAAGTTCTGGTTGCTATGGACAGGCATGCCGCTTACCACCAAGCGCCTCGTTGCCTGGTATAATAAAAAACACGTATTTTAGTCGAATTTTTGTTCGACATGTATTGTTGTTTTATATACGTGCGTTATCCGTTAGTTTAGTTAGTATGTCTGAGTCTCACGGTGGTTTTCTATTCAAAATATTTAAATAACTGTTACCTAATACTACTTTCTAACTAAGTACCTATATAATAAAAGTAGCTTTTTAAATTTTGAACCATATAAAACATACAATAATGTTTCTAGTCACATTTGAAACCAGTAAGGTTCATCAATCGTAAACACAATATGTTTGATTTACTAAGAGAAGAAGCTTTATATAACATTTTAAGTAATTTATGTAGGTAATCTACCATTAACCAAAAATATATTACTCAAATGGTGTTGGGCCAATATCGGCAAAGAAATTTATCATTTTTAAATTGTTTATAAAGTAATATTTGTGTTTACTTTTTATCTTAGAATTTGTTAAGGCATTGCGTCACTCCCATGATAACCGGTTGATCAATTAGTAATCATAATATGGCCTAAAATACAAATATCTAAAAATCTTGACAAGTGACTATACGGTGCGCCATCTAACGTGACATGGTTCTAAAGGAAAAAAATCTTTCACTATGAACAAATGTTACTACTCGACGCTAGATGCCGCCAGTAGTGACTTTACTACTACTAAATAAATTTATTAAGACACTATTAAAATCTTTAGGCCATTCGTTAATTTTTTCGTGTTTTCCTTAACATCTGAAATAGAAAACATAACAATTACTAGGATAATAGTAGGATCATTATTGTAAGTACTCCCATTATCTGGACTGTTAGTTGAACGGGCATACTTTAAAAAAGTTGTAAAGCTATATATTATCAGCAAATCATGGCAATAATAAACAAAGTACCAACTGTTATAAAAACCGACGAGTAAGTGTTACAACAAAATTAATACTTTTGTTTGGATTACCAATCTTTCTAGTAATCTTTCAATGCTAAAGGGGGCTAAGATAATATTCTATTTTTTGAAGCCTGCATGCACACTACACTAGAATCATTGGTGTGGTGCGAACTATTGTTAAGGGGAAGATTTCGATTCTGAAATACTTTAAACTAACAAGTAGAACCACAAGTTTCACGATTGCCACATACGAAACTAGTTCGTTCCGCGGGTTAGTTGGCACGGTTTGCTAGTAGGCGTTGGTTCGGATCCAACCGGATCGAAAGAATTTTTACTCAGTGTTCTATCTTTGTATTAATAATTATAACAAACTGAATAAATTTTAATTTAATTTTATTTAATAAAAAAAAAATTTTCAGTAGATAACTTCACGGTTGACAAAAGCAAGTAGAATACTTTGATAAGAAAATAATCACCCCAGTCTATAATGGCTACATCTTAAGTGTTGCGCACGGCCCGATATTTTTTTATCGAGCAATGTAATATCAATTATCTTGCCGCTGATTGCGCCCGGGCATCGCTCGCCGAGTGTCATTTGTTACCAACTGATTGTTGACCCCCAAATACATAAATGAATACAATACAACACATCTAAGTCCCACTGCTGGGTATGTGTCATCAAAGAGAGAGGGTAGTTTCTTAACGTTAGCATCATGACTTTGTTCCAAGAGACATGTAAAAATAAACGCTTGTAACTTCACCAAAATCGAGTACCGAGCTTTGTACTGTCGAGACTCAACTTTTCTGTTTACTTACATCGACTCTATATATCGAGTTCTTAGGTTTTCGCGATTGTTACACATAGGAAATGAAATGCGATTTAAAGCTCTGAGTGGAACTGCAACTTACAGACAGGCGTGTCGCTTACCACCAGGCGCACGACTTGTTAGGCCTGTCATTGTATTATAAACTTATACTTACAAGTATAACTTTATATTATATTTTATTATTATATTTATTTTAATTATTTATTTAAATATGTATATAAATTAAAATTTTGTACGGCTCTGAGCTGTCCATTGCTTCAAATGATCACGTCCCCTCATTGGGCTGATATACGATTCATCGGATTATAAGTGCCAGATAAGCCTTAAATTTCTTAAGCCATCTTCCTCATGAATGAAGTGTTTTTTCGCTATAGGTCACTATTCTAGAAAGTGATGGATATGGAAATGTTTAAGATTTATAAGTTTATTTTAGTTTTTGAAAATAAAGAAAGAAATCATTTTATAGCATGGTAAATTCAATTAAACATGCCTTGCAGGGAATTTTACAACATTGTTGCAGCGTTTTGCACACGGTGTGTGCGTATGCGCACGCCGCGCTGTATGAAGTGTATCTAATCTAAGCCAGTGCGACGCCGCCGAGGGCTCTCGATCAACTTGTTACATTTTACATTGTGATATTATTATTACAAAAAACACGAGTTAAACAAAGGAACAAAATCAAATCTTTTGTCCATTCAAAGCTTTTTCTAAAACGTCAAACCAGCTGTACCTCGCGGCGTGCATCACATAGACGTGTGACGAATTTACATTATAACATGATTCTCAGACGAGTTCATCAATTTGTCACCACCTACGAGAGTGTGTGTTCAGGATACAACTATGTATCAACCGGTAAATCAAAAAAGTGTTAACGTGCAATCCGACCGTGATCATAACTTGCTGCATTTAACTTGGTGACATCGTCAAATGAAGCTAACGCCGCGTTGCTGCTAGACCTAGAGCACTACACATTCATGGATTTGTTTCCTGACACAAAACCATAAGACATCGACGGACACGATGCCTTTCATTACACGCTGGACCGTCATTGTTGTGGGATGCTGTACAATAGTCATCTATTACCTCGTTGCCAAGGGTGAGTGACGACATAAATACGAATTAATAAAAATCTGCGCAGGGTGTTGGATTGTTTGTTAGTCTCAGAAATAACGTCGGAGCTACAAAGTTAACTGTAATGACATTTATTTGGCAAGTGCTCCCTATAAAATTGGGATAATGCCGCATGCAAAACCTAGTGATACACATATATGTACGGTTTCTATGCATACACCTTGAATTACATCGCGATGGTAGCGACGACGGAATTACTTCGCGTCACGATCTCGCTGATAAGATAGAGTTAGTACAAAAATAAAACTAAATTAAATTTCCTTAACAATAAAAATAAACAAATAATGTACATGTATTTAGTATACGGACTGACGATATTAGGTCTGTTACCGACCGGATCTCGTTTTTTTATCTAATCGATGACGTACAATAAATGAAATTCACATTTTATTCTATCGCTATCACACAGATATTGTTTTGTTGAGGTATATTTTGTTCTTTCTTTGGATGTGTTGTTTCTTAAATGGTTCCTACGTTGTAAGGATATTTTAAACATGACGTTTCTACACTCTGACAGTTAAAAAACTCGACGGCCAATGAGAATAGGAAAAAAAAAATCTTAAAATCAATAGATATTGATACATTTATAATTATAAATTTTAAACAAATTATCTATGTAACTACAAACTAAGAAAGCAGTATTCAATGGAGGTTATTGGTTTTCGTCATATTATACAAAACTAGTTGTAACAAAGTTTTGGGTATACCTACATGTAAATGGCAAACGGACATGAAATTCTCAAATTCAACATGTTGTTCCATACTAAATAGACACTAGATAGTCTTACTATTTTAAACTGAAAAAAGTGATTGAAAGTTATATGACTCTATAGGCTTACCACGCGTGCATAGCTTCTACTTTGAGCTAAGGTATGTTTTGTGGAAATTCGTTAGGTGTTTCGTGTTTCGTGTTTTGTGCTCAAATACTTAAACTGCCGTCCGCTAACTATAACGCGGCTAAGTGATAAAATATTTATTTAATAAGTATTTTTTATAATAAATATTATTTATTATAATAAATATTGTAAACTCAGTAGTTTATCAGAATCCCCCGCACGCGGATACATAACGTTAAGCCCCATTCACACTATGGTACCTTAAACAATATAAGCTTACAAAAAATACTCTTATTATATAAGTAATAAATATATTATTACAAAAAAAAATAAAGGTGAAAAACGGGTGAAAAAAAGACGAAAAACAAATGAAATTGCAGCTATATAATACTAGCTAAGCTACGTTAAATTGATACTATCATTTACCTAAGCATATCTAAAAACTGTCCTACAGTTATACCATTATTCAGTAATTTCAGCTGTACTTCTTTAATGAATTTATCATTTGTTGTAGCTTTTGTTCAGAAACTCTTTTCAATGCATTTAACAATTGTATGATGTTGGGGCGTTTACGGCCAATCAGTTTAATTAAACCAGAGATCCAGCTTTCGCAAGAATTGTTAGTTCGATGTCTTTCACTGAACACCAACCTCATTTTTCTAACGTCGTCGTTCTTGAGCCAGTATTTCATATAGTTTCCTAACTTCATTATGTGATTACAACTTTACTTACATTTAACTTAGGGGATTCTAATGCACTGTTGAGTTCACAAAGATCCCCTGGGGGATTGGGCTAAGGGATCCTGGTGGACTCAACGAGTAAAGCCGGGAGAGCTACGGGAGTTACCTGCAATTTAAGGCAAACGAATAACATACTTTAAGGGACTTCTGTTATAAACGTTTACCGGGACCATGTAAAACCCTTTAGAAAAATAAACAGGCACTAAAGTCAAAGTCAAAGTCAAAGATTATTTATTCCATAGGTAAAATACATTTACACTTGAAAACGTCACATTTAAGCTACTGCTCGTTCACTACGCTAACCTCCCTGAGAAGAACGAGCAAGGAACTCTAGGGATTGCTCTTTTCAAATAAACTTAAATGCTATGGAATA